GTACTGAGCCTTGTTGGGGTGTGTTTAATGGCTGGTTCTGGCTGTGCTGGGGGAGCTCAGGAGGAGCCTGGGACAGGCTGGGAGATGAAGGATTGGTATTACCAGCAAGGAACAAGCAGGGACAGCCTGGCACTTCCCATGGGCCTCGTGCTCCAGAACGCTCCACATCCTGTGAGATCTCCCATGGGAGTTGCCTCTGCTTTCCCAGGTCCAGGTCCTGTGTTGTCCAGGATGTCAGAGAGGTCTGTCCTTCCCTCCCAGCACCTCCAAGTAACAACAAACAGGCTGCAGGTCCCCTGGATTCTGCTCCTGTTAGAGTCCTGGGATATCCTGGCTTGGAGGAGGTCCACAGGGATCATCCAGTCCAACTCCTGCACAGCCTCCCCAACAATCCCACCCTATGCATCCCTGAGAGCAGTGTCCAAATGCTCCTGGAGCTCTGGCAACCTCGGGGCTGTGCCCATTCCCTGGGGAGCCTGAGCAGTGCCTGAGCACCCTGTGGGGAAAGAACCTTTTCCCAGCATCCAAACCTGGCACAGCTCCAGCTGTTTTCTTGGGACACATCCCTGGTCACAGAGAGCAGAGATTGGAGCTGCCCCTTGGGAGGAGCTCCAGATCAGGGTGAGGTCCAACCTCCATCTCTTCTCCAGCTGAACAAGACAAATGGGCTCATACACTTCTCATATGGCTGCCCCTGGAGACCCCCCACCATCTTTACATCCCTCCTTTGCATGCTCCCCAATAGCTTTAGGCACTTCTGATATTGTGGAAGCCAAACTTTCCCCCAGGCCTCTGGGTGAAGCTGCTCCAGTGCAGAACAATCTCTTCCCTTGCCTGGCTGTCAATGCTGGGCCTGATGTCCCCCAGGATAGGGATGTCCCTCCTGGTCCCAGGGCACTCCTGACTCAGATCCAACTGGCCATGGACCTCAGGGATCTTTCCACAGCTGCTCTCCAGCCCCTCCTTCCCCACTCTGTATTTCCAGGGTAGCCTAGTCCCAGGAGCAGCAGCCAGCACTTGTCTCTGTTCAGCTTCATGCAGTTGGTGACTGCCCAGCTGTCTCTCTTGTCCAGGCCTCTCTGCAGGGCCTCTCTGCTTTCCAGGGAGTCAGCAGCTCCTCCCAGCTCAGTACCAGTGGCAAATATCCTCAGCATACCCCTTAGGTATCACTGCCTCCCCCTGGCTTTAAAATCAGGGTTCAGGACAGCCAGGAGAGCATTCAGTGATCTTGTGCATCCATATCTCAACCCATACCCCCCCAAAAAAAAAAAAGTCAAAAGAGGAGCTTGAGATGAGGTGGGAGAGAAGAAACTTCTTGATACAAATGGTCCTGTTAATGGATATCTTGACCTTGAACCCATTTGTTGTCCTGGAACTCCTTCAATTGCATAATTTTTTCTTGAAAATCATGACTAATTTGCAAAATAACTTCCTTGGGCTTGTTCTCTTTTTACCACTTTCTTATTTTCCTTACAAATTCCAGAGCAATAACAGGACCTGATGCAGATGGTGTGTTTTGTCTGGGATCTTGGCACTGGCTGTGGGCAGGAGGAATCTCATATTTTCACGTCAGCTCCCCTCCTGAGCCTTGTTTATCAGGGGGCTCCTGAAGTCACAGGCACAATAGGGCTGTTTGTAATCCAAATTATCTGCAGAGAAGGTGGCAGAGACCTGGCAATGAGCAGAGGGACAATAAATTCCCTTCCAAAGAAAGCTCCACCCCAGCCCTCGAAGCCGCCCCCAGCAGCCATCTGAAAGGTGATGGTTTTTCCAGTGCAACCTGGAAAAAGGCAGGAATTTAAATGCTGTTTGTCAGCATTGTCACTGATGCCTTGCTACAGGAACCACCCTGTGCCACCCAGGAAGTGTCACCGAGCGGTCCCCAGATCAAGTCATGCTCTTTGTGACATTCCAGCTGGGGAGGAGAAACACAAGCTGGACCTGCTTTAAAGTGTGGATTGAGAGAAGCCAGACAAGCGTGGTGGGAATGAAATATCCATGGATCCGTGTTCCACTCTGCATAAAACCCAACAGGGGTTAGTGCCTGCCCTGACATTCCAGCGTGATCCCACTCCTGCTCGCCTCTCCGTGCTTCTCTCTTGTCTGTGCAAGGAGCAGCAGGAACCCTGGCTTGCAACTGGGGCCTGTCCAGGCTCTGAGCTCCAAGGACTCAGAGAAACATTTAGGTTGGAAAAGCCCTTTGAGATCATCCATAGTCAGAATCAAGGCTGACATCTTGGGGCAGCATTTCCCTCTGCCCTTGCCTGGCTCCAAGGGGTGACCTGGAGACCAACAGCAGGTTTGTTATCAGTGGAGATGGACAGAGCCTTACCCCAGCTGTGTGATCCACCCAAAAATCTCTGAGATGCTCAGGCTCACACACAAGAAGTGATCTCCTAAATGCAAAGGGTGGGGAGGTGCAGGGGGCTGTAAAACCTCCTGACCCAGTGGGGTCTCCAGCTCCCCACTGGGGAAAAAGAAAAATGCAAAATGCTGAAGACATCTCTCCAGAAGGGAGTGCTCTGGGTCCAGACCCAGGGTCAAGTAAAATAATTCTGCCAAAAATTAAAATACTGTCCTTGACTTTCTAATTGGTGGAAACTGGCTTCACCTCTCTTCTCTAATACATATTCCCTTGTTTACTAGTCTCAAAGATATTCCTGGGAAAACAGGCCTGGACAGCAGGCAACATAAAGAGATGCTAAAAAGCCCAACACAGCTCTGAAGGACAACCATTCCCAAGCCCCATCACTGGGGCATGTCACATGTCCCAGACAGTCCCATTTCTGCCCAACTCCAAGCCTGTGTCACATCTAAGTCAAGAGGAAAGCAATGAGATTTGGATGAAAATGCTGATTTCTAAGACAGAAATGCAGCTTTTGGAATCAGCAGAATTATCCATGAGCAAATCCCCTTTTTATTGCATCAGAAACCTGTAGGAAAATGAAGAGTTTTGTAGGGATAAAATGAAATAATTTCAGTGTTCAGATCTCCGTGGTGCCCCTGATGAGTGAGACAATGAAGATCTGCAAAAGCTGAACTGTTTCTTCATTTTCCCTGGATTTCTCTTTTTTTTTTTTTGGTTGTCGTCAAGGCAGAAGTTTTTGTTAGCCAGGTCTGTGAAATGAAGAAGAATCCTTTGAGCTCAGGAGCTGTTACACTTTGGAGTGCTCAACCTGCCCCAGCCCCAGCAGAGATGGCGATTTCATGCAATTATCATCCCCCGCGCCACACAAGCACGAGCGCCCAGTCCAGGAGCAGAACAGCAAACTCATCATGCCCTATTTAGCAAAATGTTCAGTGCCAACGTGAAATTCTGACCCTCACATTTTATTAAAAGGATTAAATCTTAAAGCAAACTATTTCGGTCCTTCACTAGCTTCTCCCTGGGAAAACTTTCAAGACAATTTTGAGGACCGTGGCAGGATCAAGATGAAACAGTTCTGCCTTTCCATCTTATTTCTTCCAGCTTAGATCCGTTCCTTCCTCCGGTGTGTCCTACCCTGTGGTGTAAGCCTCGATTTGCAGAGGAAGCATCCTTTCCCATAGGCTCATCTTGCTTTTAAATTAAATGTGGGCATTTAAACAGTTTGGGGATAGTTCTGTGGTGGAGATGGACTCAAGCACGGAGCTGGGAGGTCTCCACCGGGTGGAAGGTGCTCCCACTGGGTCACCTGCACAGCTTGGGAAGCCAGAGAAATCTCTTCAAGGCCAGTGGTGCTGGGAAGGCAATTTTACCCCAGTCTGGGTTTGTATCCATCCTGTTTAATCATAAAAATGTACGGTTCCTATTGTATAGGATTGCATATGGATGTAGCAGGGAAGGGCGGGGGGGGGCCCATGTTGGGGTAGATTTGATAGAACAGCTTTGTGTCAAATGAATAGGTAGGTTTATTATAGACTTTCCTTGCTCCAAGCTTCAGATGAGAGAAATCCTATAATCCCGCCCTGCTTTAATACTGGATTAATGTGGATTTGTTAATAAAATGCTAGTGAAATCGAGAATAATTTGTAATTAACTCAAACTTCTACTCCCCGCATCATTTTGAATATTTTTTAATAGAGATGAGGGACAGTTTCTGCGGCTGCACGCACTCTGACAGAGCAGGGCGAGTGGGAATCCTGCTGGAAAAACCCAGAAACCAGCACACCAGCTGGGGTTCATGGCAGGGGAAGCTCTACCCAGATGATGCAGCACACCAGCCACAGCTCTGCTGACCTCGGGAACCAAATTCTGTCACCAAGGGCTGCCCAGATCCAAGGTGTTAACACTTGTGGAGGTAAAATCCAAAGCATTAACCCCAAAACAAGGACTGCACAAACACAAGTGTAACAGCAAGCGAGTGCCACCTGAACAGTGCAGGAGCTGCTGAGCAGGTGTGGCAGGTGGAGAACTGCAGCATTAACACTGCCCAGTGGTAGCCCCTCAAAGCATGGAAAGACCCTGCTCTGTGAAGATGGATTTCAGACAAGATCCTTTTTGGATCTACAAACAGAAATTAAAGACTTGTACCAAAACTGGGGTGGAAAGCCATCCAACACCAAATCCTGCCTCTTGCAATGATTCAAAAATGAACCAAAATGACTAATTTGTTCAAAGATGACCATGCCATGAGGTAGGAGAAAGGCAGAGGAGTAAGATATGGAAAAGGCAATTTTACCCTGGGTAACTTTGGGGAAGGTTTGCATCCACTTGAGTTAATCACAAAAAAAGTCTTGGTTATCCTTTTATATAGGATTGCACAGACCTGCCCTCTCATGGAGCAGTGGGTCAGGAGAGGGGTCAGAGGTGGAGATGGGATGGTCTTCAAGGAACCCCTTGGAGTATTTGTCTTCATTAGACAGAGACCAGTTGTGTCCCTCTGTGGAGAACACACTGCTGGTCTGGATCCATGGGACAAGGACAATGGGCTGAGTGTCATAAAGGCCAAGTGCTGGATCTGCACTTGGATCACAACAGCCCCATGGAATGCTCAAGGTGTGGGACAGAGTGACTGGAAAGCTGGGGAAGGCCACAGAGGTGTTTGTGACAGTGGCTGGACATGAGCCCAGGTGTGCCCAGGTGGGCAGGAGGCCAGTGGCCCCTGGGCTGTACCAGCCATGGTGTGTCCAGCAGGCCCAGGGCAGTGACTGTCCCTCTGTGCTGGCACCTGTGAGGCACCTCCAGTCTTGGGGACAGTTCTGGGCCCATCAGTTCAGGAGATTGAGGGGCTGGAGCAGCAGGAGCAGCTGAGGGAGCTGGGAAAGGGGCTCAGCCTGGAGAAAAGGAGGCTCAGGGGGCCCTTCTGGGTGTGCACAACTCCCTGACAGGAGGGGACAGCCAAGGGGGTTGGGCTCTGTTCCCAGGGAACAGGGACATGATGAGAGGAAATGGCTTCAGGTTGTGGAGGGGAGGTTCATGTTGGATATCAGGAGGAATTTCTTCCTGGAAAGGGTGGTCAGGCGTGGAGGGGGCTGCCTAGGGAGGTTTGGAGTCCCCATCTCTGGAGGCATCCAAAGAATGCCTGGAGAAGGCACTCAGTGCTCTGGGTTGGGTAACAAGATGGGGAACAGGCACAGGTTGGATCTGATGATATTGGAAGTCTTTTCCAACATCAGTGACTGTGGGATTCTGTGAGAAGGTGCCATTTATTTTTCCATGGCAAAACCAATTCCCATGAATCTGACAGGGAGCCAGACACACCCAACATGAGTGACATCCAAACAGCTGCTGCAAAGGGAGGGTGCTCCAGAGAAAACCAAGGAAAATCCCTTCCCACTCTAAGCCAGACAGACTCAACTGGTGTCTCAGGTTGGAATTTACAGCATTAACCATCTCTGGCTCTCATTTCAGTCTGGCTTTGACCACTTCACCTGGAGCTCTTATCACTGCCTGCCCTCACCCACAGAGTGGCACTTTGGAAACTTCCCAATCGTTGACCCTCTTCTTGGATCAGACTCACTCACAGTGGGGTCAGCAGTGAAAAACCTCAGGAGAGCAGCATCTGTCCTTCACCATCCTCAGCTCTGGGGACAGCCAGCTGCCAGTGGTGGATAACAAAAATAAAGAGGACTTCTATCCTCTAGGTGAAGTCTTTTAAAGGACTCCCAACCTATAGTTAAGGCTTGGTGTTCGAGGGAGGATTTGTTTCATCTTGGGCTTTGCCTCTTTGTTTCTTCCCTGGCTTTTTTTCAATCTGGACACATTTTACAGCCCAGCAGAAAGGTTTTAAGAGGAATGATGTACAGTGCAAAGCTCAGTAATACCCAGCAGTCCCTTCTCCACTCAGTTTATAAACTCCTGGCCAGCTGGCCTGCCACTTTGGGCACCGCCTCACTTCAATTATGTCCTTATCCTGTTCCAGCTGCTACTGCAGCAAGTTTGCTCCTCCTTTAGGGGAGAATCCATTCAACTCAATGTGTCTTTCTTTAAGCTGTTGAGAAAGGTCTGTATTTCAGTGGTGAGCCTGCTGTGACATTCCTTGATGGTCTCCTAAATTGCTTGGAGCTTGAATCAGTAAGGTAATACCAACCAATCCTGAAAGACTGTGAGTGCTCCCGTTCGTCTGCAGGGCCTGGCTGAGATCCTTCTGTCCCAGGCTTTGCTGCAAAATTCCCCTGGGAATCCCAGGGGATGTTGTTAGATACCACACAGGTCTGTACAGCTGCCTCCATCATTCCAAGGCCTTTCACTAATTCCCTGCCATTAATTGGTGACATCAAAATCTGAATTTTTTACTACATGGGAACATGTACCAAGATACCTTGAGAAACTGTACCCTGTGTTCAGACCTGTATACACCCATCAACTATTCAGAAAGGTCAAAAAGACCTCGACTTTTTAATTCTGGCAGGACCTGAAGTGGATAGAAACCATTCTGTCAAGTGCTGTAGAGCTCTCTCCTCCTCAGGGAACTTGAGAACAAACCACTTGGCACCCAGCTGATCTCTGCTTTCATTTCTGTCCCTGGCGACTCATTGTGCCTTGAGGTTAAATGAGGTATTTGTGTCTCTAGAGTCCATCTGAAGTCTCAACATTTAATTTGGACAGGTCTTCCATGCACCTTTGTTGTCTGCATTCTTCATACTTTTGTTGTGTGCCGGGTTGGGGTTTTATTCCCCTTTCCCTCCGGCCCGTGGATGGAAGTCTTTGTCTAAGACTACAGTTTGAAAGGTTTGAAGTCTGGACAGTATCATGAGTGTCAGAAGTGCTTCCTCTTGAAAAGAGAGACTTTCTATAGAGAGACCTCAATAACCTTTTATTAGACCAAGAGCTGGAAGAAATGGACAAGTGTTCAGGAGTATGAGCCCCTTTGTACCTCTCCAAAATTCACATTCTCTTTAGAACACCTTGCTTGAAACAGCATTTACACAAAACTCACTCTGCTGAGAGACAATTTCATAAAATCACAGAGTTATTTAGTTTGGAAAAGCTCTCAGAGATCATCAAGTCAAACCATTCTCACAGCACTGCCAAGCCCAGGACCAACACTTGTCTTCAAGTGCAACATCCACATGGCTTTTGAGTCCCTCCAAGGATGGAGACTCCACCATTACCCTGGGCAGCCGTGCCAGGGCTGGAGAGTGCTGCTGGGGAAGAAAATTTCCCTGATATCCAACCTGAACCTCCCCTGGCACAGCTTGAGGCCGTTTCCCCTTGTCTTGTCCCTTGTTCCCTGGTGGCAAAGTCTGACACCCACCTTGATAGAACTGGGTCCCCAGGGAAATGGTGGAGTCACCATCCCTGGAATTGTTCCAGAAATGAGTAGATGTGGCACTTCATGGTAGGGTTTAATGGTGGGATTCAGTCAAGGGTTGGACTTGATGGTCTTGGAGGTCTTTTCCCACCTTAAGGATTCTCTGATCCTTAGATCCTGAGAGATTCCTCCTTTATCCAAAGGTTGTTCCCTCCAGTACCAGAAGGACATTTCTTTAAGGGACTCATCTGGAATCTCAAATAATATTCCCCACTCCAGCCTCTTGGAATGTGTGCTCCAGCTTGATGATGCTTGTTTTCCTGTTTGCCAAGCACATCTGATTCCCACGTGGATCTGAAGGAAAACCAGTGCAGGCTGAGCTCACAAAACCTCTGCAAACCAGAAAAAAAAGGCAAATTATTTTCTATATCTCTATCGTGGCTTCTCTTATTCATGTCAGCTCTAAATTATGTGGCCATGATCTTTCTAATCTCTCTTTGCATGGACGTCTTTCCATGCCCTTAATAATTTCCTTTGCCCTCCCCTAGACCTTTCCCGTGTCTGCATTCCGAGGCAGGGAGGTCGGAATAGGGAACATTATTCCGAGTGAATGTGTATCATAAGTTCTGTAATTCCATTATTCCATTACAGCATTTTCAATATTATTCCCTCTTTTTGAATACAGCCTGGCATTTCCTTGGTTTTCTGGATCACCAACGCATTTCGAGATTGCACTGAGCTCTTGGCAAAGGCAACCAGGATTTGTAAAAACAATGCAATTTTTGTAGTTTTGGTTTTTATTTTATTTATTTTTTCATGAGGATTCTCTGCTTGGGGCCCAGTTCCAAAAAAAATGAATCCTCAGTGCTAAAATGTGGGTCCTTTCCCTATGGTTCTTGCTGAGCTCTCTGCTATAGGATGGGAGAAGGTGAGATGCTTTTGCAGATTTCCTTCTCTCACTCTGAAAGACTTGGTCTGCTCTAAGATTCTCTGAGGGAATTTAAAATTGGGGACACCCTATTTTTTGGCATTCCTTTGATGGCCTGGGACAAAGTGATTTGGAGGAGGTTTCTATGGGTGATGAAGCAGGCAGGTGAAAACCCAAATGACATTAAAAATCTCTATTCTAAACCCAAAGTTCTCTCCTGTAATTATTGTCAACATGAACTGAGTCATTCCCATTTTATAGCAGACTAAGGAAAAACTCCTTCCTGAAGGAAGGGTGCAGGGAAGGAGTCATGTGTCCAAAGGGAGATTTGCTCTGCCTAACCTCTAAGGCTGTCTTGTCTTCTTCTCCAGGATAGGAGAGGAAAAATTCAGCTGGCATCTTCAGCTTCTCTACCTTATTATGTGCTGAGAATAAAACAGCTGGGGGTGGATGTAAGAGGGAGCTCAGGGAAAAGAAAATCTGAACTTCCAGCTTCCAGCTTCAGCTTTTCCCTCCCAGCCATGTAACCAGTAGCTCTGAGGAGGCACGGGACATTTCAGGAGGCTCTCAGTGAGGTTTTAATGCTCTTAAATGCAAGGAAAGACAGGGATCATGGAACCACTCAATCACTGAGGTTGGAAAAGAGCTCCCAGATCACGGAATCCAACCTGTGCCTGATCCCCACCTTGTCACCCAGACCAGAGCAGCGAGTGCCACATCCAATTGTTTCTTGAACACTTCCAGGGGTGAGGACTCCACCGCCTCCCTGGGGCTGCTTCAGTTTCCTGACCACCTTTTCCATAAAGAGTTTCATCCTGATGCCCAACCTGAACCTCCCCTGGCACAGCTTGAGGCTGTTTCCTCTTCTCCTGACAAATGATGCTCAATGCCATCACGGCTCAAACTCAAGGGCCAGCTCTTCAGGCACATGTGAGAGTTTTCATTTGCTCAGGTCCAGGATTCATCAAGAGTTTGGAGTTCTCATGACCTTAATTTTGTTGCAGTTGAGAAGACAGACACCTAGAGCATGGCTTTGGGTAACTGCAAGAAAACCAAATCCAACTATCTTCAGCATGAAAGATGTCTTGTGGTTTGTGGCGGGGAGCTGGTCAGATCTCCTGCTGCAGTCTCCAGGGGAGGGGATTCCCAGTGCTGGCTGTGGAGGTTCAGGGACGTGAGTCAGATCTCAGATGACCACTGAAAACAGTAAAATTGCCATGGAAGAGATGCTGTGCTGGGACTTGGACATCTCTGAGATGACAAGTTAAAGAACTTGAAGATGCTGGTGTGCAGGACAGCTCTAGTTTGGGGACATGGGCAGGAGGGCACCCCAGTGGAACTGGCTGCCTTGGGGCTCCCCCTTCCAGATCCTGCCCAGGCTGTTGGAGATCATTTTGTTCATCCCAAGTCCTGCTGCTTCTAAGGCTGAGCCTCTGAACAGGCAATGACTTTGCCTCCTGGGTCTAACGATCAAGAGACTCAACATTCAATTAGGCAGAGATCCCAGGAGTGTCTGACCAGTCTGCAATGCTATAGGAGGAGTCCTTAGGACCTTAGATCAGACCATCAGCACGACCAATTAATGCTAACGCTACTGGCCTTGTTAATTGTGATGGAGCTCCCCAAGGGGACCAGGACTAAATGAGCAATACATATCAAAGAGGAACTGAAAATGTATTATTGTCTCTTTGTTGATTTGAGGAGGATGTGATGAACTAGGTACTAATTACATTAAAAAACACTGTGTTCTAAACCAATCTCTCCTCTAATTAATGTCGACATAAACGGAGCCATTCCCGTTTTATAGCAGAGGAAGCCATTCAGTTACCGTGGGTAGCACACGCAGGGCAGCTCTGGGATGAACACTATTAACATGTTTTGGCCAGGGAGATGGGAATTTCCAGTCCCAAAGCACTGAACAGAGGTGCAGGTAAGATCAGGGTCCCCCAGCAGCATTCCATGGAGTCCCACATCATCCCACACTGTCCCTGTGCCCGCAGACGCTGCCGTGTACGTCCATCACACAAAGCAATTTTTCCTCAGCACCAGGAAAGTTCCCCTTTCCACTTAAATGGCTTTTTTTTTTTTCCTGATTCATTTTTACTTTATTTTATTTTATTTTTTTATTTATTTCCCTTCTGTATCCTTTTCAATCTGGAAAGTGACTTGGCCTCTCTTCCCCCCATCTATTTTCCTCCTGCCACTATTCAGTTTAGGCATGAAACACAGAACTAGATTGAAAGCATTCAATGGCCATTCAATCGGAGAAGAAAAGAGCCCCTCAGAGCTTTATTAGATATGAAGATCCACAATAAAAATCAATTTCTGCCTCTTTATGCAGTTTAAATGACAAAGCACCCACCCATTCTGCAGCCTTTGTGCCCAGGAAATGTAATTCAGTGCCGGAGCCGGGCCCAGAACAGCCCGGACTCGCTGACCTGCGCCGGCAGATTCCGATATGATACAGCCCT